CTTAGGCTTTCTCCTAAGGTCTGGATCCCTCCAGGAAAAATTTTGGCCTCAGGAATTTGGGGGTTGGACTGGCCTGGGAGCTGGGCCCAGGAAAGATGCTGGTCTAGGGCAGTTGGTTTCCATGCCACCCAGAGATGCGAAGGCAGATGCGGGCAAGAAGCAGCCCCAAGGACTCCTGGGGACTGCACTGAGGAACAGGGTTGGTCCTGGAGAGAGGCCTGCGTGTCGCAGAGAAGCCTGTGGGTCCTCGCGATTTAAATTTTTTAAAATAAAAAAATCAAAAGAAAACTAACGTAAAATGGAGGTCTCAATTTGGTTCACAGTCAAGCAGTCCCTATTTCACTTCATGGTTCCACTGGGAAAAAAAATGATAGCCATTGCTTTGTGGGTTGTGCGGCCAGGAGCACCTAGGGAAGCTGGGGTCGGGAACAGGACCACGATGGAGTAGTTAAAGCCCTGAGTATGGAAAGGAGAAACACTCAGGCCTGCCAGTCAGAAGGGCGTGGGCCTGGATGGGGTTTTGTGCAGGCTTGTCCTATAGGACAAGTGTGCGGGGCTGCCTTTCCTTCCGTGATTAAACCGGATGGCCAAGTCCTACAGCAGCTTGGTCCGCCTTAGGAACAGCACCTAAAACCGCCTGTGCGGGAGTGTGGTACAACCACCACCCAGATACCGGAAGCAGGACGCAGGGCCGCCCAGGGAGGCCCTGTCCCCTAAGGCCCCGCCCTCAGGGCCCAGACCGCCATGCTTTGCGGCTGCCCCGCCCCTGCTTGTATGGCACACTGTAGGGGACCTCCCGGAGAGGTGAGCGCAGGCGCGTTGTGTGTGGGTCTTGGAGTTCGGAATCCCCAGGACTCACTTCCCTGGTCCTATCGGTTCCGGCTGGAGAACGTAGTTCTGGGGCCCTGGGGCGGAAGCATAGCAGGGACTCTTCCAGAAGCCAGTACCCTGCAGTCGCTCCTGGATCAGCTGCCGGGCCGGGCCTTCCCTTCGAGACTGACCCAAGAGCTTCTTTGGCGCCGGTGGCCCTGGGGCCTCTGGGGCTTTGTGCAGGACCCTCCCTTTCCTAGCCTTAGTTTCCTTAAGTCATGGGACCATAAATAGGGTAAGCAGAACCCTGCGTTCTTCTTTGCTAATTAAATGCTTTTTGCAGATAGGGCTATAGTTAAGTTTCTTCCAAAGCATGATCACAGATGAAAGTGCCTGGAATGTTTAAAAGTAAATCAGACAGGGATGTGGGTGTTGGCTGTGATAGTGAATTAAATCGATGGGCTGAATTAAATTGATAGCATAACAAGTTTTTTTTTAAGTGAACATTTGCGTGCTCTTCTGACCACCAGTGATCAAATACTGGCCTTGTACTATTAGTGGCTAACACGCCTTAGCAAAGTACCACACACTGGATGCCCTACCCTGCAGAAATTTATTTTCTTTCAGTTCAGGAGTTTAGAGGTCCAGGACCTGGGTGTGGGTGGACTTGGCCTTTCTTCGTGGCTAGCAGATGGCTCTCTTTCCCCTGTTTCTTCATTTGGTATTCTTTCTGTAGGTATCCTAATCTTAGAAAGAGAGCAGTCAGATTGCATTACAGCTGTCCGAACAACCTTCCATTTCCATCCCATTTCACAGACCCCATCTCCAGATACAGCCACAGCCTGAGATACTCAGAATTTGGCTGCGAATATGGAAATTTAGGGGGATACATTTAACTGGTCACACCGCCACTTTACTAGCTTGGGATTTTGGTCCACCTGTTACTACACCAGTTTTCACAGCTTTAGGAAAAGGACAGTCATATAAGTTTTGGCATTATGAAGATACATTTAGAAAGTTAGACTGAAGTGAAGCCTCTGTCCTCCGGTTGTACATTTGTTGAGTCAGCCAAAAGGCAAACCAGAAATATTTAGGGAAAAAATTCCATCTATACTGAACATATGCAGACTATTGTCACTATTCCTTAAGCAGTCCAGTATCACAACTATATACCTAGCATTTTCATTGTAATAGGTATGTAAGGAATTTAGTGATGATTTTAAATATACGAAAGGGTTTGCATAGATACTGTATAAACACTAAGCCATTTTATGTAAGAGACTTGAATGTCTGAAGGTCTTGGTATCTTTAGGGCCCTGAAACCAATCCCCTAAAGATATATGTATATGTAGCGCATGTTTGTGTATAAATATATGCAGATATATTTAAGTGTCTCCTTATGTTTATTAGTATTACATTTTTTTTTCTTAATACAGTCAGCTTTCCTTGTCCATGGATGCACATTCAATCAATCAAGAACTGAAAATATACAAAAGAATTGTGTCTGTGCTGAACATACAGACTTTTTAATATAGAGTCTAACTCTATATATGGCATTATAATTTATTGGGTATTATGAGTAAAGACTACAGTATAGGAGAAAAGTGCATAGTTTATATGCAAATACTATACTTTTTTAATAAGCACTTGAGCATTTTTAGATTTTGATAATCTGCAGGGATCCTGGTACTAAACCCTTGCAGTTAGATACTAAGAGCCAACTATATAGGTGAATCTCTCAGAACTGTGTCCAGCATGTAGTAAGTGCTCAGTAAATTAAACATGTTTCATTCATAAATCACTAGACATAGATGTACACTATGGGATGAATGATGGGTGGCACAAAGCACTGAGTGCTTAGTGCTGTGCCAGCCCACGGGAGTTAAAATAATAATGGCCATTGTCAGAATGATGTCTGCCATCGTGGGAGACACTGAAAAGTTTTATGTATGTCTACTTATTCCTCACAGCCACTCTAAGACTCTTGTTATATTACCTGTTTGGCAGGTGGAGAAGTGATGCTTTGAACCCAGGTGGTCTGGCTCTGGAGCCCATGCTTTCATCTGCCTTGCAGTGTTGCTTCAGTTAAGGAGAGTAGCACTGGAGGATGTTCATTCTGCAAGCCTACCTGGGAACCATTGGCTGATTTCTCTTTTTCTTGGCCAAATTATCATCGGAGCCAGTCCTCATGGCTGGTCCCCTGTGGAGGGCTGCAGCATTTGTACAGAGTCACAGGACAGGACTCCTGGTGGGTTCCTGTGCAGGTCTGTTTGGAGTTCAAATCTCATTCCACCTCTTCGCAGATCCCATAGTCCAGTGGCTATACCAGTACTGGCCTCAGGGCCAGCCAGCTCCACTTTCCCCACAGCTGCAGAGTCTCTTCCAAGAGGTGCTACAGGACATGGCTATCTCCTCAGTTCACTGCTACAAGCCCTTCACCACCTTCACCTTCCAGCCTGTGAGTGCTGGCCTCCCAAGATTCCCTGCTGGAGCTGTGGTGGGAATCCCTGCCATTTTCCTAGGTGGCCCAGTGACCAGTGTTGACCATACTGTGGTCATACATGGGCAAAGAGTGGATTGGCATAGCCCAGCAGGCACCAAGCTGAGAGACGCCCTGACCTTGTCTCGTGATGCCCAGAAGTTTGCCTTGGCTAAGGAGGTAGTATACCTGGAGAATAATGTGGCTGCCCTTCAGGCTTTGCCAGCTCCAGCTTGCCTGACAGGAACCTGGGTACTGAGTGTGGGTGTCAAGCATGCCCTGGGGCTTTATGGAGGCCCCATTAGCTTGCGGGCTGCCTTCAACTTGGTTGCAGCAATGGCAGGCTTTGTGGCCTACGCCTTCTCCATGGACTCCCTCACCATTGCCCTGGAAGGCTGGCTGGACCGCCGCACAGCATCCCTGTCTGCATCCTATGCCCAGGGAGGAGTGGAATTCTACGAGAAGGTTCTATCTGGCAACCTAGCCCTGCGCAGTCTCTTGGGCAGGCAAGGGGAGAAGTTATATACCCCTAGTGGAAACATTGTTCCCAGGCACTGGTTCCGCATCAAACACTTACCTTACACTACCCGCCGGGACTCTGTACTGCAAATGTGGAGGGCAACGCTCAGCCCAGGTCGTTCCTGAGAGTCTAGTCAACAAACAGGATATTCCCAGCTCTCATAGGTACCACCCTGTGATGGATTCTGGGGGAATCTCTTGGTGCCTTTGCACCCACAGCCCAAGATCAGAGCACTGACAGTCTTTGCAGTTTAACAACTCAATTGTGTCCTCAGCACTTATGGTCTCTGTGGCCATGGGCATGTCCTTGTAGGAATCTGAGCCTTTACCTCAACTGTGAAGTGGGAAGGATACAAGCTACCTCACAGTATTGATCGTAGGGTTGCATGAGATTATGAGCACAAGGGCCTGGCAAAGGACACCATAAATAAATGGATCATTGCTCTTTCTTGGTCTTTGAATTCAGTGGGCTATGGAAGTCGGGCCATGTATCACCACCAGACATGTTTGTAGTATGTCAACCCTTTTCTGCAGTGGAGGACCACCCCAGTCTTCCTGATGTCAAATAGCTATTTATTCCTCTCCTGTAATAGAGGCTAAAAGAGTTAAGAAGTCAAGATGTAGCTTTAATGAGACCTAAGGTGGCTTTTAGGTAGTACATTAAGGGTGGTCTACAATTACAGTCTTGTAAATACAGTTGACACACAGAAAAGGGGAATCCTAAAGTGTAGTGGGATACCAGGAGAGCCCCTGAAGGGGAGTAGAGGTATTCTTGAACATGACAGGAGCTCTGCCTGAAGATAAAGGAAGAAACACCATTGCAACTGAGTCTCTGCTGAGATAGTGCAGAACAGCCAACCTCCTGGGCACAGCAGGATCAGGACTTAGAGAAGGGCTACTTTGGGGAAACATGGCTGAAGGCAGTGAACCAGGGCAGGTGTCACACTTAGGAATCATAGAGGCTGTCATGTGTTCCTTCAGTCCTCTGGAGGTGGAGAGAATAGACCCCAGATTTGGTCCTTAGATAAGAAACCCCAAAAGTGCAAGGTGAGAACAGTAATCAGAGAACCAGGCCTTACTTGACCATTTCTGTCATTGTTTCACTAGAAATTATGTCTTCCCTGGAGAGTCTTGAATGATGCAGGCCTGGTGCCAATATAATTCAGAGAAAAGATGTTAGGCCATACCTAGGGGAGGGTACTCAGTGGTGGCTGTTAGTTCCTGGCAGGAGACCTTGAGAGGAGGGTGACCAGGTGGGGCTGAAGGATGACAGGAGTGAGATGGCACTCCTTCCTGCTTGGACTTGGTGTGTGTGGACTGGAGGTCAGTGTACTGCCAACCTGCAGGTCCTTCCTGTAGACATGCAGACTGAGCTCTTGAGGACAAGGCACTTAAATCTCACAGGTCCCTAGGGTCTAGGACAATATACAGTATGGGTTTGATAAATGGATGGTGGTCTAGTTTCCTTTCTGTTGCTCTGATAAAACACTGACCTAAAGCAACTGAGGGAGGAAGGGTTTATTTGGCTTACACTTCCAAGTCACAGTCTGTATAATTTTTTTGTTGCTATGATAAAACACCAAGACCAAGGAATTGGAGAGATGGTTTAGCAGTTAAGAGCACTTGCTACTTCTCCAGATGACCTGAGTTCAGTTCCCAGTGCCCATACTGGGCAGTTCACAACTGCCTGTAACTTTAACTCCAGAGTATCTGACACCCTCTTCTGGCCTCTGTGGGCACTGGCATATACACACAGACACATAAATAAAAACAAATTTTTAAAAATACACCATCACCAAGTCAACTTATAGAAGGAAGTTTGTAGGTCTTACAGATCCAGAGGGATAAGAGGCCATCATGGCAGGAGGCAGCCAGAAAGAAAGCTGAGTGCTCACATCGTCAAGCAGGCAGGGAAACAGACAGACACAAGATGGGATGTGGCTATGAACTCTGGAAGCCTGTCCCCTGCCTTCCTCCAGCAAGGCCACACCTGAACCTCTGCAAACTGCCACCAGCTGACCAAATGTTCAAATACTTGAGCCTAGGGTGGGTACCTCATTCAAACCACCATACAGTCCATTATTACAGAAGACAGAGCAGGAACTCAAGGCAAGAATCATGGAAGAATGCTGTTTGCTGGCTCTCTCACTAACTCACTTTTAGGCTCATGCTTAGCTAGCTTTCTTATATAGCCCAGGCCCTAGGAATGATAAAATCAAGTGAGCTGGGCTCTCCTACATCAACTAATAAGACAGTCCCCCACAGACTAAAAGGGAAATCTGATCTAGGAAATTCCTCAATGAGGCTTTCTTCTCAGGTGACTCTAGGCTATGTCAAGTTGACAGAGGTAACTAGGACAAATGGATGAGGTATTGACTAGGTGAATGGCTCTCCAGCATGGTTAACAGCACTCCCCAGGGCTCCTTGGGACATCTCTCAGAAGCAGTAGTGATGCTACTGCCCATCTAGAGCCAAAGGCCATGTCGACCACCTAATTATTTCATGGACAAGTCTGGACTTTAGATGTGGAAGCTCAGTCTCCATTGTGACAGTGTTACAAGTAATGGAACCTTTAAGAGGTGGAGCCCAGTAGGCGGTGATGAGGTCCTTAGGGGATGTCACTATGTGACACCCCAGAAAGGATTCATGCTGGAACACAGTGCTGACAGGAACAAGTTACTATGGCTCTGCTTTTGTTTGGGCTTTAAGATGGGGTCTTGTTGTCCAGGTTGGTTTCAAACTCATGGGCTCAAGTGGTCCTGCCACCCAGCCTTAAGTATTCTGTTATAGCAACAGAAAACAATAATACATGAAGGTAGCCCCAGTATGGGGGAGAACTAGCCCCCAAAATGGTCCCTTATTTGTCTCCCTCTGTTCTGGTTACAGTGTTTGTCTCCACTTGTGTGCTCTTCCTAAACCCACAAGCTTTACATGCCCCCTTGACCCTAATATGAGTGAGTGTGTGCCTGTGTGTGTGTGTGTGTGTGTGTGTGTGTGTGTGTGTTGCACCTCTGCCTCACAGTCAGAGAGGCACAGAATACAGGGATTAGATCCTGAAGTCATAGTATGGCATGGCTCTGCCCACCCAACTCCAGCTGGACCCACTGCCTCTGTCCCACCCAGTATTCACAATGCACATCCCCCTCTATGCCTGGAACTGAGCACATCTATACCAAAGCCACTGCAGCTGTGAAGCCTGGGAGATGATGTGGTAGGCTTTAACAGATTGGTTCCTTAGATTTTGAGATCATTTCAAAGCCCTGGTCACAGTGATTCTTCAGGTTGATATCAGTTGGAAAATTCCTCAGCAGCAATGGACAGCAAAGGACCCTGGTGTTCTTATGGGGAGGGTCCATCTGGGAAATAGGGCATTAAAGTGAGAGATGGGATGGAGACCAGTAAGGTAACTCAGGATAAGTATGCTTCCTGCACAAGCACGAGGATCTGCATTTGAATCTTCATAAATACGTAGGCATGGCCACATGTGTATATGTGACCCCAATGTTGTGGGGAGCAGAGGATCACTGGGGCTTCCTGGCTGCCAGCCTAGCTGTAGGTTCAGTGAGACCCTGTCTCAAGAGAATAAGGCAGAGGGTGACAGAACAAGACACCCAATATCCTCTGACCTCCCCATGCTCACACCCACACACATACATGTGCATACAACCACATTCCCACGAAGTGAGAGATGGTCTTTACAACAGTTCTACTAGTTAAACAGTTAAACAATGAAGGGTAGTCACTGTTGTAAAAATTGATACAGACGTGTGTTCTTGGTGATATTTGAATCTTTTTTAAAAAAATATTTTTAGGGCTGGAGAGATGGCTCAAAGGTTAACAGCACTGACTGCCCTTGCAGAGGACCCATGTTCAGTTCCCAGCACCCACATGGCAATTCACAACCACCTGTAATCCCAGTTCCAGGTGATCTGATGCCCTCGTGCATCTGCAGGCATTGTATGCAAATAGCACACTTACATACATGCAGGCTAACAGTTGTACATGTAAAATAAAAATATAGTCAAAGAGCCTAGTGTGGTGGTGCACACCTTTAATCCCAGCACTCGGGAGGCAGAGACAGGCAGATCTCTGTGAGTTCAAGGCTAGCTTAGTCTACATAGTGAGTTCCAGGCCAGCTGGGGCTGCAGGGAGATCCTGTCTTAAAACACAAACAAAACAAAACAAATATAATAAAAAATGTTTGTTATTTTTAAGAATTATATGGGGGGGCATGTGCACATGAATACAGGTGCCTGTGGAGGCCAGAGGTGTGGATCCCCTGGAGCTGGAGTTATAGGCAGTTGTCAGCCATCAGATATGGGTGCTGGGCAACAAACTCCAATCCCCTGCATGAGCAGCAAGCATTCTTAACCATTACACTCTCTCTCTAACCCCACATTTAACCTCTTGACCCAGTATCTTCAAACATAGAAATTTGTGCTAGGACTGTAACTAAAAGAACTTAATGTTTGTCAAAAAATATATATATAAGAACATTAGCTATAAATACTTTTTAGAATAGAAATAATGAAACTGTTGAATGACAATGACTTAAAAAACTATGACTCTTGTTTAGCCACTAAAAGGTATTCAAAAAATAATTTTAAAAACTAGGCTGGAGCCGGTTGTGGTGATGCACGCCTTTAATCCCAGCACTCGGGAGGCAGAGGCAGGCAGATCTCTGTGAGTTCAAGGCCAGCCTGGTCTTCATAGTGAGTTCCAGGACAGCTGGGGCTACAGGGAGACCCTGTCTCAAAACGATTAAAAAAAGAAAAAAAAACTAGGCTGGGTATGTGGCTTAATATAGGGGTTTGGCCAGTATAAATTCCTGGGTTCCATTCCCAGAACAGCATGAACTAGGAGTGGTAATACATTGTAAATCCCAGGAGGCAGAAAGTGGAGGCAGAAGGTCAGAAGTTCACGATCATCTCAGTTACATAGTGAGTTTGAGGCCAGCCTGGTGGTGTACATGAGATCCTGAAAAAAAAAATCATTATGAAAACTGTGACAGGAATATGGAGAAATAATGCTTATAAATGCCAAATCTATCAAATCTTGATACTAAAAAATGACAAAGTACAGCCTGTATGATGGCTACAGTAATGGGTAGAAGCTGGGAGGAAAAGCACAGAACACACATAATTCTGTTGTGGAATTTTGAGTGATTTTATTCATCAAGTAGTAGAGACATATAACTATATATTTGTGTGTGTGTGTGTGTGTGTGTGTGTGTGTGTGTGTGTGTGTCCATCTGCAGAAGGCCTGGACTTCTCCCTCTTTATTTATGTCCAGGTGGCAGATCCTGGTGCCCCTGCTTCTGGCCCTGCATTCTTGGGGTGGGGCCAACCTTCCATCTGTTGGTAGCTGTGGAAGCTGTGAAAACGAGCTGCTCAGACTTGCTGTGGGAGCAGCTTGACTGGCAGCCCCAGCTGCTTCTCTAGATCTATC